GTCTCCGATTCCGCGTAGAGGTGCCAGATGGTCCATCTCGTGGCTATATTCTCGAGGTCTGGGGAACCTGCTTCGAACTTCCTGAATTGGGTCCCCTGGGCGCGAACGGGTTGGCTAATGCAAGGGACTTTTTGAGTCCGACTGCCCATTATGAAATTGCTCAGGAGCCTTGGGAGATCATTTACAAGCTGGGTGGGAAGTTTTTCAAGAGCACTCAGAACCACAACCCCTTCGATGTTGTTGCGTGGCATGGAAACTATGTATGTCCACAGCCTCTTATAAATTGTGTCTTTTCACTGCTGACAAGTTTACTTTCAGGTTCCTTATAAATATGATCTAACCAAGTTTGTCAATGTTGGCTCTATTTCCGTGGATCATATTGATCCTTCGATTTTCTGTGTTCTCACAGCCAAGTCGCGCGATTTGACGGCTCCGCTGGCAGACTTCCTCATTTTCTCACCACGGTGGGATGTTGCGTCTCGTAAGAACAGAACTTGCTTTCATATTTTACCCAAAATCCGTTTATTAATGATTGATTTAGACACTTATCGCCCTCCTTACTATCACCGCAATGTCGCCTCGGAATTGATGGGTCTCATCTATGGCGAGTATGGCGGTCGATCGGATGCCTTTAAGCCTGGCAGTGTTTCTTTCGAATGCGGCAGTATGTTACATTGCATGTTTACCTTTCGTGATCCTCTTCTAATTCATAAACAGTGGTTCCCCATGGCGTGGCATACGAAGAGTTCAAGGCAGCTAGTGACAATGTGCCTCCCATCATGCAGATCTCTGAAGCATCAATTGCTTTCATGTTCGAGTCCAGCAGGCCTTTTACTATCACGGATTACGCATGGACCAGCGATAAAAGACACGAACACGAACCAAAAATGTGGGATAATCTGGTTGATAACTTCTCCAAGCACGCGAAGGAGGTTGAGGAGATCTTAGCGAAGAAGGCTAAGAATCTTTCTATTTCATAAGCGTATCGTGCCATTTGACACACTTTACAGTATTACTTTTGGCGATTCGAAGCCATCTCTATTATCATCAGAATTTGACTTATTTCTATTAGACGCTCTCTAAATACGGGGGCGGCGGCCCTCGCTGTGGAATATGATCTGTTAGCGTACGATTCAAATACTGCTCTGGTTCACATTGTCCTGGCGCGGGTAGTTCGGCAAACTCTCGCTCTCCTGAGAGTTCTGCTACACCTCGTATGGACAAGGATTGCTGTTCAGACTGCCAGATTGATGTCTCTTCAGGCGAGGGCAATTCCACCGGAAGTTCATCTAAGTCTATAGAATTGGAGAACGTTCTCCCGTGTCGCCCTGGCGATGGTGAAGGCAATTCCACAGCGAACGGCCGTTCAAGCTCCCGGAAACGAGACATTGGAAGATCAGAGCAGAGATGCCGCTTGAGGAGTTCATGGGTCACCATGCGTTCTGGGATATTTCCTTGCGCTGCGACAAATGACACCCGGTTATTGACCTCGCTCATTCGGCTGAGCCTGTTTGCATAGCGATGATGGTCGAGGGATCCTTCCACGCCGATCAGGAAAACGGTTGCATAGGCCCAGGGTAGACTGAGAAGCTCGAGTTCGAATTCATCAATGTCGCTTGGCTCGCTACCCAGGACTAATAAAGCCCTTAGTATAGGTGTGCGTGGGCCTGCTCGCCATCCATAATTCGGGTGATATGTCGCTGTTGCAGAATGTTTCCGGAAATGCAGCTCTTTGAGCTTCTGCCAGCCCGTCATGAGTCGTGGACGCCCTGTGAACCTCAATTCTCTCCAGATCTCATTCACATCCCAACCGTGGACAGTGCCAATGTATTCTGCTGATTGTGAAAACGTCACCAGTGGATAACCTCGTGCGCTGCCATCATGATTCACCATTGCGTTGACAAAGTCCCGTACTATAGACTTGGTAAATTCTAGACAGATATTAGCTTGTGCATGATGGTATTCAAGAGATGCAAGTCCCTACCTTTGCCCCTTGGTTGGTTGACCTTCGTGTGTGATGTGATCAGACACTGGGTGTACTCCGGGCACAGTGGAACAGTGTCCATCGAACTAGAGGTGTCTATAAGAACCATAGTCTCATCTCGCGATGATATAGGTGCTCCCCTTGTGTTAATGGGCATGGGAACTTGGCTTGAATAGCGTTGTGATCCGTTCTGGACAAAGTTCACTTCATCGGGCCGCTCGTATATTTGCCCGGGCTGGACAGCGGTAGTCGACCGCGTCCGAGCCTGATCGAGTTCGGTGGTCAAAGATGGTTTTGAATATGCCTTTTGCCCTTGTCTATGACTGAGAACCCAATAAAGCCGTTCCTCGGCAATAGTTTTATAGCCCCTCCATGTAGGTGTAAATCCTCTCCATCCGGCGGCGGCATCGATGCTGAAACTTAGTAAACTTGGAACCTGACCTTCCCAGGATGTTATGATCGGTTCGAAATATCCCGCTCGTAGAAGGTGGAGGTATTGCACAGGCCGTTTCCTTCGCAACTCAGCGACCTCTTGGACGATACCGATGTTCTCTTGGTAAGCGGTCACAATATATTTGTCATTGTCATCTTGCCATCGCCCTTGCTCTTCTGCAAGGATTTCATCGCGTAGCTCTGATGGCCCGGCGAACTTCTTTTTAATTTTGATCGCGGTGCGCTCATCGGACGACTTCATTGAAAATGCCTTTCTGAAACCTGAGCGTTTGGATGTTTTATCGATTTCGCCATCAGTTCCAAGGGATGTTCGACGATGAATGGACATATTGGATACTAGGGACTCTAGCTGCTCGAGGTCCCAGATATTGAATGCTGGCTCCAGCGCTTGGTTGGCTTCTTCGGCAGCTCCATTTAGGGTTGAATCCATGGCTCGAGTCTGCTCGATAAATTCTAGATGGTAGATTGGGTCGGGTTTCGCCATTCCGGTCATGAAATTCACCAGGTTGAAGGGCGAGGTGATCTTGAAGGAATATGGATTGTGGTTCTTAAATCGCAGGCGGGTGCAGTCATGATATGGCTTCTCACCGGGATACATGACAGCTCTTGACCACGTATCCTGGATATCGAGTCGATCTAACTTGCGCTCCCAGTATTTGTGCACCGCGCAGTCGCAGAGCATGGTCGTTTCATGCTCTGGCTCAATTTCGGGATTGTAGATCCGACAGAACCGTTGAGCGGTAAGAAGGAGGCCTTTTGTATCTTGCTCATCGGATGCGCGAGCCTTGGATGCTTCGATGATGGGATTTGTGTGAGGACGACGAGAGACATCGCTGCTTGCTGTAGTAATTGATTGCATGTGGCTTCCTGAGCTTGCAGTGGATGCACGATAGCTTGATGCGCTCGGAGAATACAAGGGTGGGGAAGTGGATGTCATTTCTGACCCCTCCGGTTGTCGCATTGCTTGAGTATAATGGGAGATATATGTGATGATCGCTAGTTGACGTTTGTCGGCCAGGAACCAGGGAAATGGAAGCACTCTCCCACATGACCGGGTCCGTCAGCCCGGGTTAAATTTTGGCCTTATCAACATGATGAAGGAACAGTAAGCGCTGGGAAGAGTGAAACAAAAGCGCCCTGGTCTGCACTGCCCTGGCCATATGCCCCAGATGGATCTAACTTCGAATACATTCAGAGCACGTGGGGAGATGCCGATCGATCGTTGGGGGGAAAAGGTTGGCGTTGTGCGGCTCGGAGGACCGAGCGAACTTTAGTCAAAACTCCTATTGGGTACCATGAGACCATGAGACCATTGACATCTGCCACCTCTCAACTTTCCCAACCTTGATCCTTCCAAGATTGAACTGCAGAATTAATCACAGACGACTTCGTATACGAGCCAAGGAAGTCCATGTCTCCGTCTCGTTAGCACTCCGCCACCACCGGTCTCCCTTAAGGCATTCGTAAACGAAAATACTGCTCATGGCATGGATTGAGAAATAAAATCGGCCATTCACAGCGTTCGTCTCTATTATTGGCGATATCCAGTGCCTTGATGGCTCTAACACTTATCTACCATCAACGGTATGGTGTCATGTAGCTCGAAATATTTCCATTTTCGTTCATAAAATGAGCTGTTTGGATCAGTGCTTGGTACGAAGGTAGTGCCCTGGTGTCAGACTGGATTAATAACCAGCATTCGGTGGTATACATACTGTCTTCATCAAATTCGACACTGTACTTGAGACTATGATGCAAAAAACAATAGCATTTAGGATCGTTTGGTGGTTTCTCATGGATCCGTCGTCTCTGGCAGGATCAATGTTGAATCAGAAATCATCGATAAGAAATTGGAGTAGAGGTTCGGTGAACGGTCGCACTGCTGGCAATGGGTGATAGAAGATTCTCGGAACAATGCGACTGTTCTGTTTCGATGGCAGCTCTGAACAATGACCGTGTGTAGTATAGAGGGCTGGAAGGAATAACTCCCACTTCCTCCACCATCCCAAATGCAAAGATCATAATGATTATTTTCGACTCCCAGTATAATACCAATGATATAAGGGTATCATATTTATCATTATTATCATGATTATCATGATTATCATTATCATTCTCATTCAGGGGTTACCATGCGCTACTCTCCCTTATGTCGGGCCTTCGGCCTTCGGCCTTCCGGGTTGAGGGCATCGGGGTTTGTGGCCACCGACGCCGACCTTTGAGCCTCGCGCCAAACAAGTCGACTCCTCTCATCACAAAGCTTTCCTACTGCTTGGACCTCCCAGCAGGACCGGGCAGGACCAACCAAACGCTGTTTCGGCCTTTCAGATCGGGATCTCCAAAGCGCGTCCTCCGGCGACTTTAGTGACTTTCGGCCAAACACAAAAATGGACTTGAACCTGCTAATGGTATATAGGCCTGGGGTTCACAGGAGACCTGCAGATCTTACAGACTAACGACAAAGGAATTAAACTCAGGGTACTATTGATCACTAGCACCCATTGCCAGCGCCCAATAACTTCATTCGAAACTAGCTCTCCATCTCTCTATTCAAAACGAAACAATGGGAGGCCCCTACCCCCCTCGTATCGCCTTACTCGGCGGCCGACCAACAGTTGACGTCGACGTCCCAGTCTGCGCAGTCTTCCTGACTCTCTTCCTCGGCTTTGGCATCTCGCACATGGTCATCTTCCGCCGCAATCTAGCCAGGGGTCACAAGTTCATCCCATCCGCCGTAACATTCGGATTCTGCATGTCGCGAGTCGTCGCCAATATCATGCGTATAGCCTGGGCCTGTCGACCAAATGATGTTCAAATTGCAATTGCCGCCCAGATCTTCGTCGCTGCAGGAATCCTGCTCCTCTTCATCCTGAACCTTCTCTACTCGCAACGAATGCTCCGTGCAGCTCTCCCAGGCATCGGCTGGTCACGACCCGTCTCCTACGCTTTCAAGGCGTTGTACGTTTTGGTCGTCGTGTCTATCATCATGGTTATTACCTGTGTGGTTCAAAGCCAGTATACTCTCAACGCAAACACCCTCCGCATCGACCGCGACATCCAGCTCTACGGCGTAACCTATTTCGCCATCGTCTCTTTCCTTCCAATCCCCATCACCCTTCTTGTTCTGTTGTTTTCCCATGGCCAGGATATTGAACACCCCGGCTCGGGTAGATGGTCAACAAAAGCCGCCATTGTCCTCTCCGCTGCCGTCCTTTTGTGTTTGGGTTCCTCCTTCCGCGCTGGAACTTCCTGGATGCCTCCTCGCCCATTGACCAATCCACCCTGGTACGACCACAAGGCCTGCTTCTACGTCTTCGACTTTGCGATCGATATATCGGTCGTTGCCTTGTTCTTGATTGCCCGCGTTGATCGGCGGTTCTGGGTGCCGAATGGTAGCTCGGCTGTGCGCCATTACCGCGGAACAGCAGACGAGCCTAAGGGAGCACCTTCTGATCGGGGTACTAGTGACCACGACCCCGAGGAAAGTGATGGTGCCTCCCCTGGGTTCCGGGCTCCTGTCAAAAATGAAAATGAAGCATGAAGATCACGAAAATATGATTTGAATTAAAGTGCAAGACTGCACTGGGTGCATTGGAATTTTGTCTAGCGTTGCGGGCATTCAAATAATAGCGTTGTACTATGTACTATGTATAGATATTGCATGATGTTAATATTATAATTAGAGCATCTTTAGGAAGTTCGTGCCAGTACTCTGTACATGGAATGGAACTTGAATGTCGAAAACGTTAATTGCTCAAGTTAGTTAATTGGGGGTAATGATCTCAGTAGTACGTATGTCACACCTAACGGACACAGTTAGTAGGCCGATAGCTAGATTGAGCATCAGGTCTGCGGAGCTTTGTAGGTCTGTAGAAATTGTCGGCAGCGCATTATGATGACATCTACTCGTCAGTCCCTTCGTCATCTTTGACGATCCGGTAGGCTACTATTTTGCACTGCCCAGAAACCTCAGACTCAGAGCATAGGCTACATCATCTATAGAAACCAAGTCTTCTTGTTCCATGAAATGCGACTATCAAATTGCTCGTCTAATTAACAATATCCTTGCTGTGAACGTTCATGGCCAAACCACAGCCAGCTCTGCTCAGCTGCGTTGAATTCTCTGTCGATATAGTGTCTCCGAGGCCCTCCACTCCCTCCTACAAAGTCGTGGTGCAAGAAAAAATGTTAATCTCGCAAAAGGGTCTTTTATTTTCATGATTGGTATCAACAGACGGCAAGACATCGAACCATACAGAATTAAGTAGGCGAGAGCCCCGTTCGTATGCAGCCCCCTTCTTCCGCTAGCCCCGTAACCTTCTGAAGGACAAAAATGAAATCTATCACAGGAAGTAGTCGGGTGTGCGCCTCGATACCATCGGTTCGCCCGCTCGGGGGCAGGGGTCAAATTGTAGACTATGAGTGGTGATGATTGTATTAGCAAGGTCCAGGTCCAGATCCAGATCCAACGTGTAAAGGTGGACGGGATGGTGAATGTAGGGCAAAACTCACAATGTGTACTTCAAATGCTCATCGATCTCCATAATAGCAGCCTGGTTACCGCAACGGTAACAGTAATTGGGTGCTAGAGGGCCAAGTCAGATTTTGCCATTCTCAACAAAAACAGAATCCCACTGAGAGAGGCAATCATACCTGAGAAAATGGTGACCACGTTTCGATCCTGCGACCAGTTATATCCCTCCATCACCAGTTGATGTGCTCGTGCAACCAGAGTCAAGCCGTTGTTGTGGTTGAACGCTTCCGAAATGTCCTGTCCAAATGTGTACCCCGCACCGCGAGGAGAAATTCCCCAACCGCAGCGATCATCCGGATCACTCCAGAGCAGATCGCACATAGGTCCCTCGTGGGGAACTTCTTGAATACGGTCCAGGGATCGGATGTTGTCGAGGGTATCAATGGACGGGCTCAGCCCACCGTGCAGACAGAAGATCTGGTTTTCAATGAGAGCAGTGAGGGGAAGGTAGTCGAAGAGGTCGGTGAAATATTTCCACACGTTGGCATTGCCGTATTTGCGGAGGCACTCGTCGTAGAAGCCGTAGACCTGGGTAATCTGGCGGGATTCGTGGTTTCCACGAAGGATGGTAATACGCTGGGGGTAACGGATTTTCAGGGAGACCAGTAGGGTTACTGTCTCGACTGAATAGTATCCTCTGTCGACATAATCACCTGTGAGGCGAGAGAAAATCGATGGTTAGAGATTTGTCCACCCAAACATCCATCTCTTGCACCCCCACCTCCGACCGAGGGATGGATCAGCACTCACCCATGAAAAGGTAGTTTGTGTCAGGGTTGGGGCCGCCGATGCGGAAGAGTTCCATTAGATCATGGAACTGGCCGTGTATATCGCCGCAAACTGTCACCGGGCATTTCTGTTGGAAGAAAGGGTTAGTTGTTGAGGACCAACCCGACCGGCCGGCGGGGGGGGCGGCCATGGCGGCGACGGCGACGATAACAACACATACCACTGGCTGGACGTTGGATTCTTCTTGCAATACTTCTCTGGCCTGTGAAAAAAGGGGTAAATTAACCATTCAGAATTGTTGAGATCATGCAGCGAGGCAACGCACCCGATCGCACAGCCGCCGCACATCTTCCTCCGCTAATTGCTTGCACGTCATCAAGCTCTCGATCCAGCCATCCAGAGTCGGTATGGAACCCGGATCGCTCGTCGGGGAGAGGTGGTGTGGCTCAGGCGATCTCGCGGTATCGATCTCCATATTGTTGTCCATGGTGGCAACAGCTGGCGGAAATAGGAGGGAGGGGCCAGCTGGGGAGGGGAGGGCGGTCTCGTGAGAAAAGAACACGGATTTTTCGCGCAGCGAAGAATGGCGGAAGGGGTAACGAAGATGGGATCAAAGTCGGCTCGAGGCAATTCGACAAATGTAAGAATCCCAAGAGCGACTCAAGCGATGAGGGGGCTGAAGGGGAGAACACAAGAAGAAAGGGAGAAAGCGCGGGAGGTCCAGGCAGGTTCAGGTTTGGAGGTGAGTTGAGATGGGGCCGCCACAGTCAGCCACAGAAGGGAAGCTCAGCACAGCACAGCCACAGCCACGGTACATAGTACATAGTAGTAGTAAGAGAGTAGCACTATGGTTAAATAAGTATGAATACCTCAGTAAGTATGTAGATATGATATTTACAGTGTTCTCAACAGGCAGTCTCTAATGAATTCAAATATTACCAATACTTATTGGCGATACTAGTATTTGCACTGTCCTGCGGGTTCCGTATACTTCTCGGCTATGGAGTATCTAGAACCATACTGGTACTACCAGGAGTGAACATCCTCTTAAAAGATATACGGGCTACTGTAATACTCTGAGGTATGAAACTTCCAACCACTGGCAGGATTCCCAAAAATACCCTCATTGTGACACGTACTCACTTTCTAAATTTTTACGAGTCGCCATATCGTATACTCGTTCACAACTCTAGTATAGTAGTTACTATCACTTCCAATTGAACAGACCAATGTGATCTCTAGCCCAAACCACTAATGTAGTAACTAACCACCTGACTATCTCTTGACAAATACTACTGTCAACACCCGAGGCATACTCGTATTCGTCTACACCTCCACTTCATGGATGATCCTAGAACATGACGTCAACACAGCAAGAAAAATAAGCTTTGTCAGCCGGAGGAGGGGCATTTCAGCTCATCTTTCACCGCAAAACAAACAATTGATAAAACCCATTTGACTTGATACAAAAATATCTTATATCTTCGAGGTAAAGCATTGCTATCAGTCAAAATGTCAGCAACAGCAAAGAACGTGATCGCCACAGGCAGTTCTTCCGGCCTGGTATATCGCAATCCCGCTTCCAAATCACAGCATCGGAGCTTGGCTGACAATCGAAATAGGGATTCGAAGTGATTAAGCAATTACTCGAGAAATCCGAACCTTACAACTTTATTATCGGTGCTCGAGACATTGAGAGAACTCAAGCCGCATTCAATGAGGTCAAATTTGATACCTCCAAGCACACCATCTCCCTGGTGCCTCTTGATCTTACCGATCTACGTAGTGTCCAGCTATTCGCACAGAATGCTCTCACCAAGTTAGGTCCTAACAAGCTGGATCTACTGTTCCTCTGTGCAGGCATGGTTGCTAGTGCCGAAGGACCAGGCCCTCACGGTTCGCAGTGGTGCACCAGCTATGTCGTGAACCACCTGTGTAAGTTAAACCAGCACAATAAAAGGGCCAGAGAAGTATAGCTAACTTTCCATTCTCTACGAAAAGCCCAGCATTATCTGCTCCATCAACTTCGTGAGACCCTGGCTGCTTGCAAGTCGCGCATCGTCGTGGTATCATCGGGGGCGATCCGCAACGTCCGCAACCAAGACCCAAGTGAGTATTTTCTGCACTTGCAGAAACCAGTGACTTGGAGTTTATACTTATTCAAATTTTCGCAGAAACTCTGGATGTTGATCTTAAGGCAAACTCTGGAGCAGACCGGGGTGTGGTGTACAGTGCTTCCAAGTTCGTTCAACTGTTGGGTGCCCACTATTGGCGTCGTACACTACCCGAGTGCAGAGTTGTGGCTGTCTCCCCTGGTCTGATCCCCGACACAAAGCTTGCTGGAAAGGATTTGGGATTGACTATGAGCATGCCCGATGCCAAAACCGTCCCCGAAGGTAAGAATCCCCAGCTCGACAACCAATGTAATGGAATCCGCTGACATTCGCTCTCCATATTATAGGCGCTCAGAACCTCCTCCGTGCCTGGACTGTCAATGACTTCCCTGAAGACCCTGAACAAGTTATGCTGACTAGCTGGGGTGAGTGGTGGTCCAAGGATGTTATTAAAATGAGCTTGGACACCGCTCTTCAGAACAAATGGTGCTTGAGCAGAGATGAGATCGAGAGGGTCGAGGGACTTTCCGCATAAGTCATAAGAGATGGGAACTTTTTACCAGCCATCCATTCAAAAAGCTCAAGGACCCTGAAGTAAATGACATGCACATTTTCGGCTTATTCTAGACCAACTTATATCCATCAACCCGATACCTTTTCCGATGCACAGGAGCAGCATAGTCGTTGCTACCCTAACCTTAAATCCGGAAAAGATAAGGCGTTTCAAATTCCCCGGAGAATTATGTCCTATCGCCTTCTATACCTTGTAATTATTTTGAACAATAGTGCTTATGCCCAGCTTCCCCGCAGCCTATGATTTGAGTGTTGTTCACCCGCATGTCAGCCGGCGTTGATCTCGACCCCGAGTTCCGTCATCATCGGCCCACCAGCAAGTTATCGGGGCTCGGCCTGCGAATGAGGAATTTTGTCAGCTTTGATGCGAATCTCCGACGCTGACAATGCCCAGTTGATAGATAGAAAGATTATTTAAATGCTTGGGTTGTCCGGCATGACAAGAGTATACTTCCTCAATCAGTTTCCAAGGCAATCACATCCTTACCATTAAATCACTTCTCTAATAACAACATCACTTCCACAATACAGCACAATGTCCAGCATTTTAATCACAGGCGCCACTGGCAAACAGGGGAGCTCGCTGATTCAGAACCTTGTCCTGAAGAATGCTCCTTATCAGATCCTGGCCGTGACTCGCAACACCCAGTCTCCATCTGCACAGAAATTGATCCAGAAGTATCCCGACATTACTCTCGTTCAGGGAGACCTGGATCATCCCGCGGAGCTCTTCAAGAAGGCACAAAGTCTGAGCTCTAAGCCGATATCGAGTGTATTCAGTGTTCAGGTAAAAATACTCGGTGGTTCTTTCTGCGAATAACAATGCTAATCATAAGGATACTTACAGCTCGCAATCGGAAACACTTCATCTGAAGAATCCCAGGGCAAGAATCTCGTCGACGAGGCTTTAAAGCACGGCGTGAAACACTTTGTATACAGCTCTGCCGATCGCGGTGGCGCTAAATCAATCAATAACCCGACCGACGTCCCCCATTTCATTAGCAAGCACAACATCGAGAAACATCTGATTGAAAAGACCCAAAATGAAGATATGGCCTGGACGATCTTACGACCGGTTGCATTTTATGAAAATCTTGAGCCGAACTTCTTCGGAAAGGTCTTTGCGACGTCTTTCAGGATGTCGTTGAAGGGTGCTCCCTTGCAAATGATCGGAGTTAATGATATTGGTGCTGTGGCTGCGGAGGTCTTCTTGAATCCCGAGAAATACAAAGGTCAGGAGCTATCGCTTGCTGGGGATGAACTTACATACACCCAATTCGAGAAGATATTCAAGGAAAAGACTGGGAAGTCCTCTGTTCCCACTACGTTCCAATTTCTGGTCTCGGGTTTCATGTATATGGTGAAGGATATGGGGTATATGTTCAGATGGTTCCATGATGAAGGCTTCGGGGCTAATGTGGAGGAAGTCCGCAAGATTCATCCTGGCTTGAAGGACTTTGGGACTTGGTTGGAGACCGAGAGTGCCTTCGCCAAGCAATAAATCATTTCCCGGGGTCGAAAAAGCATGGGGGGGAGGACTTCAAGTTGGAGGGTCTCAATAATAATGTTTGCTTATTTTTACACATTGTTTAATTAATACACGAAATACAGTTATCATTCATATCAATCATCATCATGGATCATTTCATTTCACGTCGTGCCGGTAGTCCAAGAAAGCTTAAATGATGTCGCCTCCTCCAAACCCCCCTCCAAATCCACCGAAGCCTCCCCCGAAGCCTCCACCAGGACCACCCCGACCAAACGGCCCTCGTGGCCCTTGGTTACGCCCATGGGAGGGTCGCCAGGGCCAACGGGGTCATATCTCGCACCCGGCGGAGCACGAGGATCATATACTCCACTGCCACCACCGGGGCCACCAAAGAGAGGGTCATCAAAGGTGGGATGCATACCACCCCCACCCCCAAAGCCAGGGCCCATGGGCCCACGTAGAGGATCGTGGGGGGGGCCATTCCAGCGGGGTATAGATCTCTGTCTCCGATGTTGTAGGGATTTCTTCCTCCTCCTAGACCTGGAGGGTATCCACGAGGGGGTCGGTGGAGCTCAAATTCATCCTCGAATCCGGGCGGGGGAAAGTCCGGTGGGTTTGGCATGCGCGGTCCTGCGGCTAGAGGATCATTGAATGGGTAGGGACGTGCAGGTTGTGGGAAGTCTTCGCGGAGGGGATCATGTCGTGGTTCTGCCTCTGGCCGAATGTGGCGGTAGGCATCCTCGTATCCTTCCTTGTATAGTCCCGGCGCCAGTTTTTGAATCACATTGATTTTGAATAATCCGATCAGGTCATTTAGTCGCGCGGAGGAGATGAATACATCCTGCAGGGCACCGGCGATGTTCTCTGTGACGGGCAATGGAACTGCAGATCCGGAGATATAGTCTTTCACTGGGAGGTCGAAGGAGCTGGTGCGATCATCGCCTAAAGCCAGCGCATTGATAACGACGTTGCCACCCAGTCGGCTCACTTTGAGCAGGTATTGCATGGACGATTGCTCGTGCGCGTATCGGAAGGCAAATGTATCGTTAGTGTTCCATTCTGCGGGGAGGGCGGGGCTGTCTGTGGATGATTCTGTTGCTGTTAGCGATGAAGCTCTCAGTTGCGAGAAAGCAGAATGTAATTCACCTAGATTGTGGTCTTCTCCGAGTCCCACCAACCTGAAGCCCACTGCCACCATACAGGTATGTCCGATCAGCGCGACAGCTTCATAGGGTGTTTTGAGACTCGGCTGCCCCTCGCCAAGAGCTTTGGTCGCTAGGTCGAGGACGCGTTCAGGGTCGAGACTTTCTGTTCTTGTCATATTGAATGTGTTGTTTCTTAATTTCTGGATGTGCACGGATGTAAGGTGCAGGGGAGAAGAAGTAATTATAGTTGACGTTGAGGCGCTGAAGGTGATGCAATAAATCGGCTGACGTAATACATTTGATGCCCAAGGCAGATTGAGGCTCTGCTCATTAAACAAGCGGACTTGTATTGATCATGCCACTTTCCTGGTCAGTACAGGCATTACTAGTCGTCTCAGACATTTTCTGCCAACATGAATCTCATCTTGTTACAATATGCGGGCACACTTGAGCTATCCTCCTCCACTCTCTTTTTCACCCGACCCATCGATGTATTGAATCATAGTAGATTGCATTAATTGAATGGTATACACTGCTAACAAATTTATATGGATCATTTATATGGACAACCTCTACAACATCGCCTTGGGGAATTTCTTCATCGCCTGTCGTACTCCCAAATCGGCCAAGATCTCCTCGGTACCACCAAGAATAGCGTCGAACTTATACGTGCGGTGGAACATCTCAATGACCTTACCCATACCAGTCTGAGTCAAGCCACGTCCACCAAAGATGTTTATAGAGTGATCGGCAATCTCCTGTGCGGATCGAGTAGCGTGGGACTTGAGCAGACCGATCGGTCCACCCAGGTGCGCCGACTGCTCTGCGTAAGACATGTTGCACATCTGGTAGGCGACAGACTCGAGCCAGGCCTGGCAGGACTCGGTGAGTGAGATCATGCGGGCGAGCTTTTGGCGGATGGCGGGCTGTTCGGAGAGCTTCTTTCCGAAGACAATGCGTTGGTTGCACCATTTCAGACACTCCTCGACGATAGTCATGGACATGCGGACCACGGCGGCTACCATCATGAATCGCTCGTGGTTGAAGTTACTCATAATCACGATGAATCCCTTGTGCTCTTCGCCCAGCAGGTTACCGACGGGAACCTTGACGTTCTCGTATGTCACGTAGGCTGTCGCGGCGGCAGTCGAATAAGAGGTCTTGATTTGCTTTGTTTCAATGCCCTCGCCGCGGGGGATCAAGAGCACCGAGAAGCCCTTGTCGGTCTTGCAGCCTGTCACGAAGTAATCGGCGAACATGCCATTTGTGATCCATTTCCTTGATTCGGTCCGTTAGCTAAAGGGCCAGATAAATTGAGTGGGAAAATAGCACTCACTTGGTACCGTTGACAATATAGTGTTTGCCATCCGGCGTCTTCACAGCCGTGGTCTTGAGACCAGCAACATCGCTACCAGCAAAAGCCTCGGTGATGGCAAGACACATCTTCTTTTGTCCAGACAAGACTTCGGCCGTAACTTGTTCCTTCAACGCAGGATTGCGGAGCCATTCCTTCACGGCAGACAAACTGATCGCCATTCCTGCCATATTGCCATCTTGGAAGCCACGGGCATTGGCACGAACCAACTCTTGAGTGACAATCATGTCGTGGAGGTAATCAAACTCCTTGCCATCGACGGCACCATTCAGCAAGTTCAGTCCGTGGAGGTGCTTGCCCGGGCCCAGCCGCATAGCCAGCACGCCGTTGCCGGCCATCTTGTTAATCAGCTCTTGGCTAATGTAGGTACCATCCCTCTCCTTCTCTTGCGCTTCGGGAGTGACGTGTAAATCGGTGAATTCGCGAATCGCCTTCTGCAGACGGCGATGGCTTTCCTTGAAATAAGGACTCTTGAAGTGGGGACGCAACCACAAGGGCTCGGCATAGGGGACGGGGCTCAGGTCACCGGCCTTGGGTTCGATAACCTCCGACTTCTCGCCCTCTAGGGTACCAATACAGAGCTGATCGCGGTACTTTTCTAGAACCTCTTGTCGGTGCAAGTTGTAGAAATCGACGGTGGCATCCTGGCCGCCAACCTGTGCGAGTACGACGCTGCCGCCCGGGTGGGCGTCGACAAAATCGGTGAGATCATAGACGCGGTGATCGATGATGCACCAGAGGGATTCCTCGGTGTTGTGCTTTGCGACCTCGGCGCGGGTGAGGACTTCGGGCATCGTGAAGGATGTTCTCTGGGGTGGAGAGGAATAGTGAAGGACTCAAGTGGAGGAATGAGGAATGAGGAATGGGGGGGGGGGTTAGTAAATAGCAAGAGTTCCCCGGATTTCATGGACCAATGACAGTCCAGGCGATGTTCAGCCGAGGTGTAAAACTTGCGCGTGAACCGAGGTGCACAATCAGCAGGCCAGTTGCAGTGCAGTAGTACAGTAGTACAGTAAGATTATAATATCCTTTCCCTTTCTATTGTGGTCGAGTTACTCGTACACCATAATTGCCCTGCTTCAAATATATGAAAGACGGCAGAGATGTGTACTCCTACTCCTAACTGAACCGTCTACCCAGAGTTGCCCAGGCTCAACGGCCGAGGTCCATAATTCACGTTGCAATGTCACCCCAGAATCAGTCTAAAAAGGATGGGCCCATATTTCGGAGATTTGGCCTCTGCACGAATAGAATGCCGCAGAGTTGTCATCGTCACTTTGCAGCCACCAACGCGACCCACTGCGATCGACAAGCCCAACTCTATCGTCTAATTTGGGAATAAACATACAACTCAAGGACTGGGTACGGAGTACATGATTCCAAGGGTTGCCTTTTACATCCTGAGATACTGTGATAGCCTGTGATAGCCTGTCATAGCCTGTCATAGCACACGTGAAGAGAAAATATCTACGATGCCATCTTACCAATTGTTTCAATTGTTTCCCTCTTTATTCAACTCCGCGAAACGCGCCATCAACCATAAATGAAATGGGATATAGATACTTTATATGGTATATGCATATGTACAATGTCTCAATCCCAGCACTGGCAGGCCAGGCCAGGCCATAACTGCCGAGACACAGCGTCCAGCGTCTATTGGCAAGCGCTCAAAACTCCCAACATCTTCTTGGTCTTCTTTATTTATCGCGTTTCTTTTGCCCCTTTCCCAGCTGCTCCTCTATCAACCACATACAAACGGGCTGTGCGTCACTTCCAACGCGCCAGCTACCCAGTACAACACCTTGATTCTCGAGTATCTCGCTCGCTCGCTCCCAGCGACGTCGCCACAGTTCTTCGCGTTTGTTGGGGAGTGGCGCAGGTGGCATTCCTGAGTCGGTGGTAGCGTAAGAGCTGTTGGTGTTCATCCTTTCAAGGGACTGGTTCGATGCCGTCGATCGCAATCCAGGTTTTGGCGCTGCAGATGACAGGTTGAGGCGTTCGGTGGCATATTGGAGAGTGGCCTGCGCTGCCGCCATGGGGTACGATGGCTTTGCAGCGGTTGTAGGCCGCGATGAGCCAGTGTTAGTAGGTGTAGTGCTAGCGGTCGTTGATGACGATGCAGTATTCGTTCGTCGGGGAGGTGGCACGGGTGGCGGTGCTTTACTCCGAGATGAAGCCGACGGCCCCTGCTTATTCCCATCTGCAAGTGGTTCGGTTTGTGTGCGAGATATGGGCGGAGATGGGTCTAAATCGATCAAAGAATCCGTCCTGGCTGTCGAGGTCCGCCGGGGCGGCAGGGGAGGAACTGGCTTGCGGCGGATCGCTTCTTGAGATGCTGTTCTTGAAATGCCTGATGGGGGCTTGAGAGTATCGGTTGCCCCAGATGATGTGCGCAGCGTGGACGGTTTTGAAGGCTTGGTGGGAGGGAGACGTTTGCCAGATGTATTAGCATTGGGGGTCTGCGTCTTAGGCTCTTCTTCATCTCGCAGATCAATCAAGTCTCCAGTATCCAGACTTTTCGAATCCGTTTCCGGGGTGGATGGTTTCTCAAAATTTCGCCGCGGAGGCAGGGCAGGCCTCCTCGTAGCAGAATCCGAATGGTCCACAAGTTGTGGAGTGCTGCGACTTCGACCCGGTCCCGTTTCAAGGTGCTCGGCGGATTTATCAAAGAATGGCTTGTCCTTTGGGGTAGTCACGTCACGGATAAAGATGCCCAGAATCCGACCACGGTTTGCCAGAACAATATCAGTGTAGACCTCCAGATCGGCTTCTCCACTGTCGCCGACGAGAATGAACTTGCGATCAGGGAAATCCCGTAGAATCTGTTCAAGTGAACCACGTTTTCTCTCGGCCGTGGGCTCAAAAATACCCTGTAACATGCCAGAGTATTGCTTGAGGTGGAAGGATCCTGGAGGTAGTCCGGCCATTTTGAAGTATCTCTCGAGCAGAGGGTATAATTGCCATGGAGCGTTAGATACGTAATGCATTTCCACACCACGTTTAGCAACTTGGGTATACCATTCGCTGACTCCGCCAACCTGGAGTTCAGCCAGCTCACGAACGAAAGTGTTTCGGAACATCTCCTTTGCGCCACTTGCAATCGCAGAGTGCTTCACTGTATCATCAATATCACTAATCATGCTGATACCAGAGGGTTCAATAATCTCAATCGGCTTTGCAGCTGATAGATCTTCAGACGCGAGCACTCGAACATGGGTTGGTACGAATGGCAAGGGAGCCCGCACATTGAAGTGACCGGACTCATCAGTCATAAGGTTGCGAGATTCGCTCTGATCATTGTCGAAGAAGAATATCGTGACCGGCATACCAGCAACGGGGCTTGTTAAGAAAGGGCGAAGTCTTTCCATTAAATGAGCATTTGCCATGGAGATCTCATCTTTGGTCAGCTGCGCAGCTTCTTTGAGACCGTCTTTCACCCGCTCGGTCTTAGAACTTTTCCATGCCTGATCGGCATCTCGTTCTGCTGTATCGACCAGATTCTTCATTTGCTTGTCCACGTACTCATCCTCGCCTTTCCCGGGCACCGGCTCGGGGCTATCTTCGTTAACCGTGCCCGTGGGCGTGGGAATGCCACTCAAAGTTCGAGCCAGCTTGACCATCAAGCGATGCTTTCGGTTCATGGGGCCTCGGTTTGGCGCGTAGATCCAGCCACGCACGTCAACGTCCACCCTGGCATTTTCAAGATCGGGGTTGGGCCAGCCATCGCCAAGACGGTCGCTGCTATCCTCAGAGACACCCCGATAGTCGTCAATCGTTTCGGACCACGAGTCCCGTCGCGGGCGCATCTTAGTATCATCTGCTTTCTTTTCTGGGAGTCGTCGTCCGTAGCTTGGGAATAGCACCATTTCCTCATCGCCGGACCGAGCAATCTCCACATCAGGGAAAGCACCCGGAGTGTGATAATAATCTTCTTGAGAATCACTGCTCTGGCTGGTCCATCGCGAGGTATATGCCTGGCCTAGTTCGTTGGCAGCCTTCAACCATTCGTAGGCCTTCTTGCGACGGCTACCGGGGCAGTTCCATCACCACTTCCTTGACCCCATGTCGAGGATGGCCCAGACTGTGCCATCGGGCTTCTCACAGCCTCGCTCGGCCCCTCTGTCGGACCCTTGATCGCTCTCGAGCGACTTGTAAGAGGGCGCGCCCAGATACCAAGACCAAGTCTCCCGCCCCGCAGCCGTCGCCGAGGCCCAAGAAGATAGGCAATGAAACCGCCGCCAAATCTACGGTTGCGTGCGGCAAGTCGCGCTTGACGTTTGACAATTGCACGGTAGATTCGGGACTGTGCTCGGTGTCGGAGTGCGGGGAGGGCTTCGTGTCGAAGATTCCACAGATGGTTCTGTGCTCGACGAGTCCTAAGTGGACCGACTAGGACGCGGAGGAACGTTGATAGCTTGTCGGGTCTGGCGTCGCGGCGGAAGAGGGATCGCAATGTAGGTTGGAGGCCGGTTTGGGGGAGGCGTTTGAACAGGTATGGCTTAGAGGGGAATATTGGCCAGCGAAAACGTTTAGGAGCCAGGATCTCGAGTCGTCCTCAGACGGGTGGTTGATGGTTTAGTAGGTGTGGGGGTTCAGTCTTAGGACTGATTGAGTAAGACTAATCTGCGAGAAGGATAGGAAAGGATGGATGAGCTCAGTATTCTCAGATGCAATGTCTTAGGTACTTTGTACTTACTCTGACGATGGAGAGAAGTAGTCGCAAAGAGCAAAGAATGTTGGTGGTGGAGGGGAGTTGGAACGTTCGCGCGTTGCGGGAGTGGATCAGCCAGCCCTGGTCCCTGTTACTATGACGCCAATCTCACAGGGCTGGAAGTTGCTCACACATGACTCGGTGTTCTCGGCATTTATGATTTGAATGTAAAATATCCGGGCTCATGACACTATCAGCTATTCTGCTGGTACATTTCAACAAAATTACTCCCTCGTGTGATCGATAGTAGCACTGGACCTCGGGAGGGATGGATAGGTATATATCCATCACAAGTAAAAAAGATGGTGGTACTTACCAGTAGGTAATAGGACTATATTCCCACCCCTACCAGAATCAATGGCCCGCCGGGCGGTTCAGGTTTCATAGTACGGGATATTGCTTGATAGTAGTAATACTATATAATACTCTCAGGTTCGTTCATTCATCAGGTTACTAGCACATCATGAGGCCGCAATTCAAATGTTTTTGGTATCTATAGCAATATATCGTACAAGATTCATGATTATACAATATCCGGAAGATCAATTACGTAGATTCTTCGGTATAGTTGACTTTCTTCGCCCGACTGCTCTTCCGAGACGTAGACATAGTGGCCTTGATAGTAACCGTCTCCTGGTCCACTGACAAACCACTGAGCTCGGACTCCGGGCTAGATTCTATCTCTTCCGCTTTGCGCTTGGTCCGGGACTTGGTTGGAGTTCGTTTGGGAGGACGAGCTGGTTTCTTCACAGGCGTTCCTGCTGAGCCATTGGTATCAGCGGGCTCGGCCTTGATTTTCTTTGCTGGACTGGGTGTAGCCTTGGGCTTGACGACTTTCTTGGCCGGTCGAAGCCATTCCTCCATGCCGCGAGGCCAAAAGACTCTCCCTTCTGGACCTCCCATCCCGACTTCCTCGTCGGGGATGGTCCGGGCGGTGGTACGGAGCCTTCTAGGTCAACGAACCCGCCGTTCTTCTTGGACTTGCGAGGGGGGCTTGAATGGTTTGTTCTCGTCTGTCCGTGTGTAGGGAATCAAGTCATTAAAAAGATCGTGACCGGGGAGTTTGAATGTTCGCATCAGTTCAAAAACGGCCTGTTCTTTGTCTTTGGCCTCAATCATCAGGTCCATGGTGGGAATGCAGGGGGGCAGGGTGGCCACTCTATCACTGTGTTTGCGGCGCTGGCGGGGGGTAATGGCGGGAGCGGTTTGCTCTGAATAATGCATTTTCTGCGTAATGTTCTTACGTGACCATGTAGCAGCTATGCGGTCGTAGAGAGGAATGATGTCCTGCGTGCCCTCGCGGACCTCATTCGGATCGAAAAGAATATTATGGTGATGATAATCGAGGACGAGGGGGATGTTCAACTCCTCGCAAATGGGTAATAGATCATGCACAGTCCAGCTGACATCATCGTTCTCGAGGACGAGTCGTTTCTTAATATCCTCTGACAAGACAGCATAATTCTCTCGGAACCGGTCCAGAGTAGCAGCCTTGTCACCGAAGACTCCTCCCATGTGTAGAATCATGATGGCATCACGATCTTGCTGAGGAGGGAGTTTGAGCAGTTGCAGCATCTCCGAGTGGTATTCCAAGTCGCGATAGGAGCTTTCCACCACCTCCCGTTTGGGAGAGCCTAGCTGCGTAAACTGACCAGGATGAACAGAGACCCGGTGGCCAAGTTCTCCCACAACTCTTCCTGCCTCGGCCAGGACGTCGGAGGCGAAAGGAGCCAATTTATAGCCATATTCCTTGTGACTAGCGAATGGGAACATCTCACTGCTGAGTCGCATGAACTTGATGCCATACTTATCATTCCATCGGATAAGCTTTACCAGGTCGCCTGCATTTGCCAGCCCGAGCGATTCGACGAAGGCCTGGCCGCGTGCGACGTCTGCGGGCTGATCTCGATCCGGGCGATTCTTTGTTGGATGTGGGGGTTGCTCAGGGTCTTGGAGAGGGTGTCTATTTTCGAGAATCGAAGCAATGCGACATGTTCGCGAACAGAAGACGGTTGGGGTGGAGTAGCGCAGGTAGGTGTTCAAACAGGCCTTAATACGTTAGTATAGGAACGAGGTGCGAGTCAGACCTCTGTTGAATCCGATAGCTTACATATCCAAGGCGTCCTTTCCAGGAAGAGGGAGATAGTCGCTGTGAACTGGTGGCGGGCGCCCCAACGCATCTTTGAGCTCATCTGCGTCGACAGGGACCTCTAGATCCGACTCCGGGTCCAATGAACCTTCTGCCCGGCCAGCAGGCAAAGTCACGTCGCCATTGAGGATATCAGCGGGTTTCGCATCGGTATCCAGCGTATCGGTCACCATTGGCATGTCTCCGGCTATCGGCGAGCTATTCAGATGTCGAGCGAGATTCTGAGAATAAGTGCGACGCGATGCGACAAGGTTGAGGGCTGGGCGAGCAGATAGGGAAGAGAAATTGGAGAGTTGGAAAGGAGAGAGCGAAGTCGGTCTAGAGGCATGACGAAGGTGGTCTTGAATTGGGACAGGCGATCTGACGTTCGCCACGACAATCGATCTCGATCGATCGAGGAGGCTCAGTGACAAGGGTGGCAAACCCCCGAACCAGCCCTGAAGCCGGCATGCTGAACAGACAGGGCACGCGACAGTCGAAAAGACCGACACATCCAGCGAACCTCTTGCGGAGAGATTAAGTCAGGGACTGAGAGGTCGAGGAATTGTGAGATTAGGTTGGAGGGGAGGGGACTGAGGAGCATCAAACATCCCACTCCACTCGTTCGGTTCGGCCGATGACGCGTGAATCGCGCCTTTCGCGTTTCGGCGTGACCGAAGTCTATCCTTAAAGAGAAGAGAGGCCTTCACAGCAATACACAAGGGCTGGAGTGTGTTTTTGACTACCTATGGATATGGATATACTTTGTGTATTTCTATTCCTATAGTTGAGATAAGGATAGCAGAGTAGAGGGAGGATTACTCAAGTACTAAGTAGCCTAGTAACTAATATTGATGGTGGAGACTGGTCGATCTATGCAGCTTCAACCACCAACTGACCTGACTTCCATGCTACAGCGCTACAGCGCCACAGCTAGCTCTACCTTGATCTCCTAAACGGGTATATGCAGTTAATGATGTTTAACCAATGGACAGATGGACACCGATGCCACCAAAATTAGCCCTCTTAAGCCGGCATGCAGGGCGAACCAGGGGCACAGGGAGGTTCCAGGAGCATCGAGGAGTCAATTAGCAGACCGGGACTACTCAACACCTGTTTGTAATGGGGCCACGTTATCATGGCAGTGCTTGAATCTTTTCAAGAATGGACGAGACGGAGTCTGCGTGAAATATGGAAGGTTACCACTGCCGATGGAGCAACGCGTGTTCTGTGACTGACATCACCGAATTCCCCGTCCAATTTGACTCGCGGAGATTAATTTCGATGTGGAATGAGAGTTACCCCTGGTGGTGGCTTTCATGCTTGTGGGTGCGATGCAAACTTACACTGGCCGTGGCGTTGTTATGGTGTCAGGTTTGGAATTGGAAAGGGGGAGGTGAGCAGGTCGAACTAAGACTTGCATCAGTTAGGGTTGAGTTGATACTGAACCTGCTGCTCCATTAACATTGATTCTCTATGGCTACAACAAATACTCTCACTTTGTATCGACTGTTGTCTTGTTATCCAACTCCACCAATGAGGCCATGTCGGATTTCTGTGATGGAAGCTGCGATGGTCGCCAACATTCCTCGCGTTGCTGGCCAAAAGACTCGTCGTTTGGGCTTGAGCCCCGAGGAGATGGCATCCGCCATTCCTCTAAACAACACTGGAGAATGCCACTCTTCGTCCAGGTATTTATTATAGCTCGAGCTCGCCATTTCCCCCTGTTCGTTCCTCAATCTTCTGGTTCTGGACAAATTTTGACCCTGGTGGTTATAAGCCTGGCAGACTGTTGACCCTATTCTTCTGATTAATAACCCATTCTTACTTCTACACATTGTGAGTACCTCCATGATCTATGGTTATGGCCTCGATGCTAACAAAGCATAGACTATATTCAATATGAAGGGTCTCGCTCTCCTCGCTGGCTTGTTGGCCGGGTCGGCCTCAGCCCACATGCAGATGTCCAAGCCCTATCCCATTCGTAGTCCTCTCAACAAGGACTCCAATGGCAAGAAGGATTACTCCTACACCAACCCGCTGCAGTCCTCTGGCAGTGACTACCCTTGCAAGGGCTACGCCAAGGATGACTTTGAGTCCCAGGCTACCTACAAGCAGGGCCAGAAGTACACCATGGAGCTCGAGGGCAGTGCTACTCACAATGGCGGCTCTTGCCAGCTCGCCCTGACCTACGATCAGGGTGAGACATTCAAGGTCATCGAGTCAATCCTGGGTGATTGCCCCATTGCCAAAGAGTACGACTTTACCATCCCCTCTGATGCCCCCGACGGCGAGGCACTCCTGGCCTGGACCTGGTTCAACAAGGTCGGCAACCGCGAGATGTACATGAACTGTGCCTTCGTCACCGTTGGAGGTGGATCTAAGGGAAAGCAGGTTCCTGCTCAGACCAGTTACAAGCACAACGGTCAGCAAGCCAACCATCCCAATCACCCAAACCACCCTCCCATGAAGCAGGCTGAGGCCCCCGTGGCTGAGGAGATGCCCCACGAGGAGAAGCACAAGGAGATGGTCCATGAAAACGCTCAGCGTGACGTGTACGGTGCCATGAAGACTGGCGGTTTCAGCAGCCTTCCCGAGCTCTTCGTTGCCAACATCGACCAAGCCGGCAAGTGTGTCACCATCGAGGGTGAGGCCGTGAACTTCCCAATGCCCGGAGATAACGTTGAGGGCAAGGCCAGCGGCAAGGGCTACAAGTGCGAAGGCAAGGCTCCTTTCCTCAGCAGTGATTCCAGCTCCTCCGACTCCTCTAGCTCAAAGGACAGCGACTCGAAGAGCACTACCTCGAAGGACGCTGACTCCAAGACCGATTCCAAGAGCACTACCTCGAAGGACGCTGACCCCAAGACCGATTCCAAGAGCACTACCTCGAAGGACGCTGACTCCAAGACCGACTCCAAGAAATCCAACTCTACCCGCAGCACCACCACTACTGAGACTACCTCTCAGTCCATGTCCAAGATCGCTTCTGCCTTCGGCAACCCCTCTGCCGACCCTCGCGTCCTGTCTGGACAGTCCAGTGATATGAAGGAGGCTTCGACCAACAACGCTTTCGGTTCCTATGTTGGTGGCTGGAAGTGCACTTCTGGCGAAATCCTCTGCGCTCCTGATGGACAGAGCTGGGCCATGTGCTCCAACAGCCAGCCCATCTACATGGGTCTTGTCGCTGCTGGCACTGTTTGCCGCTTTGGCTCCATTGTTCGAGCTTAGGGCTGGTAAATTTCCTATGTGTTCTGAACTTCACCCGACTGGGTCGGTCGAACATTTATCCCTTTCTGAATCTTCTATGACCCCGGTGTCTTGTTGCCCGGGGTCTTTTTGATCACTTGTTGATCTCGTTATGTTAATGATGGTAATCTGTATTCTTAATGATTGGCTGGCGTTTGGAGTCGATAGCAACGTTATGAGGCGTGCGGCAGCAGTCTTACACCTGTACCTTTTAGTTTCTGAATCAATACAAAACTTTATCAAACCCCACATTGACTACTGCCAGTAACTAGTTCTCTTCACAGTCGAATTTGAGTAGCAATAGATTCTTGTCTTATATTATATCCCTAAGTGGCTTTTTCCACACGCCTACATTCTAGGCTATGACCTTCGACGTCTAGTGTACACGCCAATCCTATTACATAACATGGTATCACAGTTCAAAAGAGACAAAATGGTCATACAATCATGGACCAGTCAATACGACTAGTCCCGCCAAATAGTTAAGTGATAGCGTATCGTTCACTTAAATGTTACCGGTGTAGGCAGAGTTGCCGTAGCCATAGGTGTTTTGGGCAGCACCTCCACCATTGGCAAGAGGGACAGTGTTGTTTTCCTTCTTGCGACCCCACGAGCCGAACCAGTTGTTCTCGTTCTTGGGCTCGGCACCCATCTCGACTTCGCCGGGGGTGGGGTGGCCAGGCAGAGCGTTATCAGCCCCGACCGCATCGGGAGATCTGTTGCGGCGCCACCAACGGCGACGGCTACCGGAAGTGTAGCCGTTTGCGGGCGAGGACCGAAGCGCTTCTCGCGCTTGTGGTGACGGGCAAGCAGGACCTGGAAGAGGATGGAGATCAGGTATAGGAAGCTAGAATGTCGCGGTTAGCATGTGGTTCTTTTTTGACTGCAGTGTTTGGTGGGAATGTTCAGGATACTCACATTCCAATGATGGCCACTGCGAAAGTGACCTTCTCCAATTTGCAGGCCATGCCGAAAGAGAGATCAGCCTTGGAATCGTCCGAGGCGTTGCCTTCACCGATTGGAGTGTTGACGGTTCCAGAGCACTGATCGATACCGTTGCGTGTCAGGACGGCGATGGCGACCATGGCGCCGGTGAAGAGGACATCGAAAAGAACGCCCAGGAAGGCGAAGAATGATTTACCACCGAGGCAGCAAACGAATAGAATGCCGAGCAGACCATAGAGAGCACTTGCGCCAGCGAGACCCTCGACGGCTTTCAGCCATGTGGCGATGTGCTGGTCATGGCGAGAAAGAATGGCGAGGTAATAGGAGAAGATACCGAGGATGACGGCAGAGGCGAGGAATTGCAGTACGCGTATAGCGAGACTGCAGAAGCGTAGAATGACGCCTCCGATACCCATGATGGAGGTTTGTATATGTTGTGGTGTTGTGGTGATGGATGAGTTGGGTAGGACCCGGGAGCGGTTAAGGTTAAAAGACCTGAGGAAGGCAACAGGATTCAGGGCGGGTTATAAGAGTAGACCCTGATGTCGACGCAATAGTCGAAGATCAGTGGGAATCGGTGGATGCTGGCGTGGTGATCCCCGGCTGCTTCGTGGGGGTGACTGGCTCTTCCCTGGTTCCACCCATCCACTTTGACATCATCCAGTTCCACTTTGGCCGTGATGAGCTTCCTGGTTGGTCACTCTAGCCCGCCACCGCATGTGAAGAAGGGAAATTTCAAAATGCGGAAAAAAAAGAAAGTTCAATAATCGATTTGGTAGCTCCTCCAGCCACACTGTTTTGCGTGGCGCAGCGACCGCAAAGCAATACTATACATAGAGAAGTGGTTGGACCCTGGTTGACTATGAACCTAGCAGTTTCTAAAAATGGGGATTCATCATTTTGGTGACGAATTACCCACACACAGCAAAGGCAACTGCGGTATTGCATTCTTAATGTGCTCGTTCCATGCCACGCCATTGCCGTGTCAAGGGCGGGACCCATGTAAGGGAGCTTATTGAAAAGCCCTCCAAGACCCAGTCACCATTGGAATATCGTGATAATGAGATGCGAGGGGGAGAGGCGGGGAATCTCAAAATGCGGGGGATACCCGAATACTAACAATATAGCCCATAGTTATCTAGGAGCACTAGCTTTCGATGATCAAATCAATAGACCAGCCCTGTTGATAACGGCGTTGTTTATTGAATGGCTGGTCTGCAATCACTGGTATGCTCTGAAGTTTCTTGACCTTGATCATCTGGCTCAGGACTCGGAATACCCAGGAATACCCACCTATCCTTTGTATCCTAGATGAAACATCTATGGAGGACCTTATAGCTTATCCTCGCCACCTCCGCAATGCCACGCCCCATAGAAGTTCCAGAACATCCTCCATCAACTGCATCATCCTTCGCCATTTATCATGAGTCGCCTCTTCCTCTTTAAGGCAAGTAAAGGCAATTCCAATTCCTGCTAAACTATGGTTTAAATTTTGGAACGCTCATGGATGCTCATTGATTGACGAAATCGCCTCTACTATGACGTATTATCAAGGTTGATATGAATGGCATGATGGCCGCGCAGGATCCACAGGAGATACAGAGAGCTTCAAGTTGAATAACCAAATACATAAGCTTGAATGGACCAGCTGGAACGTCATGAGTTAATTGAAATTCTTCGAGACTGGAAATAGGCGCGCCCAGGCTACTATTCCTGCTATCCTAATGCAATGATTTTATACACTCATCGCGATGAGAGGAAGGCCAAGGTTGTCGCCAGATATCCTCATTTCGTGCGTATTTCGAACGAAGATGACGCATAGCAAGTACTAGTGATTATTCAACTAACCCGGCTCTTTATCAAATGACAGGCCAATGGTACTCCTCAAACCTATTCTTGCACATCCACAATAATCTTGCAATGCTCATCACGATGATCAAGCAGTGCCTGAAAGCCTTTATCTACCACATCGCGCAGCGAAACCCTAGAAGTGATCATCTTCTCAGGTCGCAAATGGCCTGCCAGTAACTGATCAGAATAATCTAAATACACCATCATCGCATCAAGACAGTACTTACCCGTACTCAATGCCTGCATCACATCCAAGAAAGATTGCTCGTCGTACAAAGCCGCCCCCATGTACCGTACCTCCTTATACATGAAATCGTTGACAGGCAAAGAAGGGTTTCCCTCCCAAACAGCAAGATTCACAATCGTCCCCTGAACGCGAACAGCGGCGATCGCCCCCAAGAGCGCTTTCTCCACGCCAGCTGTGTCAAATACCACATCTGCTCCGACACCACCGGTCAGCTCTCGAACTCGTTTCGTGACATCCACCTCGCTGGGATCGAGGGTTGCCGTTGCTCCGTATTCTGTGCAAAATTTCTTGCGGTTATCCATTGGTTCGGCTACCATGATCTGTCCTGCGCCTTGCAGCTTCAAGACCTGAACAATGCCAAGCCCTATCGGCCCCCCACCGACGATGAGGACATTGTCGTTCTCTTTGAAAGGGGAGAACTTGACAGCGTGCCAAGATACGGCGAGGGGCTCGATGAGAGAAGCAGCCTCAAGGGAGATGGTATCAGGGAGGGCATAGAAGTGACCTGCTGGGGCGACAATTTTCTTAGCCATGCCACCACCATAACCTATTAGAATTAGCATGTCATTTTAATTTTACCGGCCATATTTTAGACGGGAAGGAGTACAACGTACCGCTCAGTCCGATGAATCCAATATTTTCACAGCAATGGTAATTTCCCTCCTTACACGCAGCGCATGTTCCATCGAAAATTGTCGGACGTACGACGGCGCGTTGCCCAGGTGAAACATTCTTGACGTCTTCACCGACTTCTTCGATAATTCCGCCGAATTCGTGGCCCAGTGTTGCCGGTTGCGTACAGCCTGTGATTTTATGTGGAGTTTCCGGTATCAAGATTGGGCCGCTAGTGTATTCATGCAGATCTGGAGATTGTCAGAATTGCATACCGTCATCTACAAGATGTGGTTGGACCACCTACCGCTACCGCAGATGCCAACGTAAGCGGGTCTCATCTTGATGGTCTCCGTTAGCGTCATTTTCAATATGAATTATATGTAAAGACAAACCTTAACTTGGCCTTTGCCGCAGACTGGTTCATCGACTTCTTCCACACGGATATCATCCGGTCCGTGAAAGCGAACTGATTGCATCCTCGGCGCACCTTTGAGGGTAGTTCGCGTCGCGTCGGTCTGTGTAGATGTTTTTGCCATTGTTGCAGATATAGATCTGAGTAAGGGTTGTATTTTATGCTCGAAGGGTGCTTTTTGCGAGGTTGAGTTCAACGTTGTCATTGACATAGATCGTATGGGTGTGGGTTGCGATTTCATCTTGAAGAGTGTTTTGCGTCCGGTGGACGATGATTTCCAAGGTTGGGGATTTGAAAGTGGTATTTGTATAGAGTGTTGGAGATTTATACTAGGTGTCAGGCTTATACTGTGATAAGCGGAATAAATAGATAAAAGGTCGTGGGTGGATTATCAATTTCAAGTGTTACGGTGACAGGTGGTCGAGGGATTTACTTGTAGCTTTATAAATGGTGGAATGTAATTTTTGGCAAACGTCATATGCCTTGCCGTAATAGAGACAACCTAGCATGTAGATGTACAACAACATCCAAATATGAAAACAAGGTAGAATCATGACTAGAGTTGACGATACCAAATGCCACAGGGCCTGGGAAGAGATCCGATTGGCCAGGATTGAAAGAAAGACAGAGCTTCAGCCAATTCCACTTGAGATAGTCGGGGGATCAGGTGGTTGGCACGACAATCCCTCTTCTGACACGTCTTGGATTACCGAGAGTGTGGAAAGCCACCCATGGCATAGGAACCGGGGGCGGCAAGAGGCTGCCTAGTATTGGAATAGGCGCCGCATTCGAGCTTTTATGATAATGGCGTCATTGAGATGGACTCAATAACGCTAGCAATCCTGAATCAAATTGATCGAACAGGATTGAGAATGCGCAGGGACAAAGCACACAGCCCTGTATGTAGTAGAACATTCGAAGCGCTATCGAACGCCATCGGTAAGTCGATTCGACCTTGGCAGAGACATCTTGCATAACAGTGACACGAAGATCAGGTGCGTCGTGACATGGTTGTTGAAATTAGGTCGGAATACATCATGGATAACTGGATTTAATGATGCGGGGGCGAGCCACTGATGAGGCTGGCAAGAACCCGCCAATCAGCGGGCCGGGGCTCTAACAGACCCTAGAAATTGCAATATTTGACCGGGTTCAGCGAATATTTGCTGTGGATTAGCGTTGCAGAGACTTTGCGGGCTCCTTATCCACCATTTAGGATGTCTCTTCACGCTGCTGCTCGACAAAGGCCTTAAGGATAGATTCCAGGCCTTCGTTGCGGCGGGCCAGCAACATCACATCCGAGACGTTAACAGTTGAGCGCCCGGCATGCCTAAAATGGTAATACCGATCAGAATGATCCTGGGGGGTTGAGGTACAATCAATGCTCGAGTGACTTACTTGGCGAACGACTCAAGATCTTGGCTGACCGTCTCTGCTGGTCGTTAGTTACGCGTCATGAGTGGTTGAAGTGACGGGCATTGGACAATGCATGGCAGTCAAGGCAGGGCGACTTTGACAGGAAAAATTAAGATACGCACCAATCTGAGCCCAAACCATCTCTGTGAGCGCACCAATAAACTGGGGGGGTTGCGTTGACACCCAGCTTGATAGTCTCCTCGTCCACGATCTTCCCGATTGACAGCCACAGAGCTGATTTCAAACGCTAGGAGTCATAACCATCAGAGCGAGAATCATATGATTGATGGAACGGGCTCACCTCCTCAAGACCAATTTCTTCGTTATCGGCCATGGCTTCAAGATTGCCCCGGAGACTGGAGAGGCAGTTGATGTTGATGTTGATGATGGTGAAGGGTGATTGTCGCGTTCCCATACTCGTACAGCATACAGCAACCCGCGATCGCTGATTGGCGCATCGGCCCGATTATTGATCCGACGCGAGCCGCTCCTGCCGGACAGCCCGTATTTCGCGACTTCTCAAGCGGGAATTATTGGGACATCAAAACGGGTCCCCCAGCGGTCGAACCTTCGAGTTTCTTCTCTTTTATCTTTTATCTTTTCCTTTCCCTTCACTCTTCTCCCCTATCCAATTCAATCATCGCTAGGGTTCTTCTACATCCCCAATCACTATCCAATCCGCCTACGCTGAAACAAGCTCAAGAAAAAGTTTCTTGACAAAACCCCCCCTCCAACCACCCACAATGGCTCAAGCTCAAGCACGAAATGAGCAAGCCGACATCAGCGACAAGGCCGTCGAGGCCGCAACCGATTTCTTCCACCAAATCTACTCGTTGATCGAAACCGTCATCAAGCGCTTCTTCAAGAACTCCTGGGCCTCCGTCGCCGAGATGAGCGGCAAGCGCTGGACAAAGGTCATTCTCAGCGTCGTCTTCTACCTTTGTGTACGACCCTACATTGAGAAACTCTTCAAGTGGATGCACGATCGTGACCGCAAGAAGGAGAAGGCGAAGAAGGAGGCCGAGCGCGCTGCCTTCGGCAAGAAGAAGGCTAAGGTCTCGCCGAATGCGCTGCGCGGCGGCGAGTCGGGCAAGGTTCTTGGCGAGGTAGAGGATAGTGATGATGACCTTGTTGCTGAGGAGGGTGAGGAGGATACCCTTGCGGCTGCTAGTGGGGTTCCGGAGTGGCATGGTATGGCTCGGAAGCGCCAAAAGAAGTACATCAAGAACCTCCAGAAGCAAGGGCAGAAGGCGGAGAAGCTTTCTGAGGAGCAGATCATGGAGCTCTTGGATTGGAGTGATGAGGAGGCTGCGAAGAAGGATGCTTAGATGGATGGAGTGGTCACTCGCTACTTGCTATGTAACAGCTTGTTCTGTTCGTTGGATCGCTTGGTGGAGTTTGGGGTATTGAAAAAATAGACGTATGTACCTTTAGAACTAATTTGTATAATACCACACAATGACTATATTATATAGTACCAGGAGGTAATGGGTAATCCCCAGTGAAAGTCCATTAAAACTTGAACCTTGGATGTAATCATCGCATCTCAAATATTCATCTTTCCATTGCGTAATATCTACCATGGGTAGTTGGTCGTTAAACGTGACAATTCAAATAAAAAGCAATACTTGTGCGCGCCTGGGTTTAGTGCAGTCTCCGCAATGCTTCGATCGTTCCCTTGACCTTCTCCACATCACCCCAGCCAACCTCTTCCACAATCTCCTCTTGCAGCTCCGGATCGCAAGTCAAGAATTGCTCGATTAGCTCGCCGTCCACAAACCTATATGGTGCTTCAGCTGAGCGGACTAGGGTTCGGAATGCGCGGAATTTGCTGAAAGGTAGATCGCCTAGGGACTCGACCCTGTCGGCTATCACTGTTTGAAGAGTCATCAGGAAGTCCTGATAATCGGAGTTGATCAAAGCGAAGAGGTAGATTGATCCCTCGACCTGGGATGAGACGTTAGTACGTGTTTTGGATGAAGGATGTAACACTATAGAACATACCGTTCCCATAAACGCCCGCGGAGTCACCGCGACACTGGCTAATTGGGGGATTTGAATCGGACGAATGCGATTCACCATCTCTCCTAGGCAAATCTCGCTTGTTGGGACGAGACGGTGCTTGTCTTGTTCAGTCACGCCGTTCGTGTTCCGTGATAGAACAATCAAATTGCCCTGTGCCTCGCTAACAAGTAATGTATCATCACCGACCGAGGCAACCGCCGTACTCCAGACGGTCTGATAATGGCGACCAATCTCGTTAAGCTTGTCTCCGACGCCATTGGCGCCCTTGATATATTCGACAATACAGACGCTCTTCATGAGGTCTGCCACCATGATCATATTTCCAACGACTGTCACATCCACCGGCGCAGTGGATGTGCGGTAGCTGGCAAGCCGCTCAAGCTTCATCTTTGTCCCAGAGTTGTCAGGAACAACTTTGAAGACGACAACCTAAATTGTCTTTAGTAAAAGAATATTTCTCTCCTCTCTTCTCCAGCGTCAACTTACGGTCTTGACCAATGCCGCCACAATCCGATCATCCATCATTGCCAGTGCTCGACAAGCTCCCTTGACCGGCAACTCCGCGACCTGCGTCAGCTTGCGCCCATGATCGACCTCCAATACTAGTATCCGCCCGCGGATTGAATCAGACCTTTCTTCATCCATGTAGGCCGTACCAACGATAAACCTATCTTTCCCCCCGGAGAATCCCGCCCGGATAACAGTTTCGACCAATTCTTCCGAGTTGAGTTCTATCGCGTCTAATCGCCGGAACATGATCTCGTCGGCGAGCACGAAATGGCTTTTCACAATCTCAACACCGTCTTCAAGCTTTCGGTCAATCGTTCCAAGTCCGAAGGCTTTCTCTGCTGAAGAGTATGCGACCCGTCGTACCGTGGACCCCATCGGGAGCGTCTGGATCTGAGTTGTGCGTTCCTTGTCCACTGATGCGATCTTGAGTTCCCGCGTAGTTGCAACGGCAATGGACTCAGGGAAGGCTTCGGTATTCAGATGGCAGATTCGAGATGCGCCTTCCGAATTCACAGCGGAGTATATGATACGTCCTTCCGAGCCGTATATCAAGCTTGGATTCTCGCATGTGGCGAACACATTATAAAGCCCATCTCCACGAGGCAGTTTCTTGAATGTTGGCTGCTCGGATCCGAGAATGAGTTTGGTCATCCCGCTTAGCGAGTAATCCTTTGTGTCCAGGGAGAAAGTAATGACACTCCCGTCAGCCATGGAGATGAAGAGGGTGGGCGGGCTATTGGCAAGGACGTTGGTCACGAGAACAGATCGAGGGAACGCCTCGCCGGATGGACCTAGCGATTTTGTCTGGATCTCGGAGAAGTCATTGATCTTCAGGACGGAAACCCTGGCAGATTGCGGGAATCCAGCGATGCAAACTCCTGTCGGCTCAAACGGAACTGTAACGCCAGATACCTGATGGTCCTCGTCGAGGTCCTTCTCGGCAATAAGCCTGGCCTCGGCTCGGATATCAAAGGATGCAAGAACACGGCCACCAATAACCAGTACCAGGTTGTCATTGTTTGCCGAGGCGGCTGTGATTGTCTTTTGCGTTGGAGGAGTCCATTCGAAGGTCACCATCCCACTTTCGACATCGGCAATCAAAGCTCTCTTCTCCGTCACTTGTAAGATTCTGCCACCGGGTAAATTGGCGGCGAGGAGAGTATTTTCTTCAAAAGCAAGACCCAAGAAATTATCCAGCTCTTCCACCTCTCCATCGACACTAAAGCGGAAGACTCGTGTTTCATCGACGAATGTCACGAGGAGCGTGTCCAAGAAATCGCCAGCGCTCTGCACTTGCAAGCCCCATAGGTCTGTGATGTGATCCATCTCACCCAAAACTCCGAGCTCGTCCATGCCGACTCCACTCCGTACACTTCGTAGAGTTCCATCGTCAAAAGCACCCGAACCGGTCACGATGCGAGCTTGTCCTGATGAGAATTCGTGTGTCTGGCTCTCACTCGTACGGTTGCCCAAATCCATCACTGTGAAATCGAGAATGGGCGCAATATTGGACAATGTCTGAATGACCTCGAAGGAACCATCGCCAATACGCAGGACTTGGGAATCGCCCAAGTGGGATCCGACGAAGAGGACCCCTCCACCGAGATAGACCAGGACCGACGCACGAGATGTATTTCCCAGCCAATCGAGCTTCCATGATTCGACATGCCCTTCGGTACTCAAAATTAGCATAAGGAAGAACAAACGACCATAGTCATCCGCCAGCAGCCATCGCTGGCTGTCGACCTTTTCCCAGGCCACGAAGACAGTAGCCTCGTCAAGATCGCGGGTAATCATATCATTCGCATCGTCGTCGATGTACTTGATCGATGTCTCACCCAATACAATCAGTCCACCTGCAGTAGTCAGCCACATGAACACACATCTTCAAGTAGTAAAGGCAAAATACCTAATGGGGCGGGAATCGGGATCAGGTGGGAGGATCCCATATCAAGCTCGTGGCTGAACAAGCCACCCTCGAGTTTTGTCTCTGAAGGTTCCTTGAACGTCGCATCCGCAGACACATTCGAGGTTCCAATGCTATATTCCAGCTCCCGAATTCGCAACCGGACCTTTTTCTGGTTATCCTCATATAGCAGTGCCAGGTAGGGCTTGACCGATGCGGAGTGCAGAAACGCCGACGACCGAACGAACAGCTCTTCGACACGTGTGTTGGTCGGATCCCCGAGCTCGCCTACTTGGGGCAATTCCATCTGTGAAGCGGCATGGGAGGGCTTCCCTCGCTTTTTGGTCGGTTCCACGATTGGAATCACGACGATCACTCCTTCATATATCTCCAGTGTCATGTACCGGCCGCTGGGGTCGAGAAGACATCGTGGCTCCGATTGGGACTCTCGGGATGAGGGCTCAGATATGTCGACATAGTTTCGGGCCGTCTTGACCCTTTGCTCATCTGCGTCCCATGCGAGGGTGAAATAGCTAAACTGGTCGGTGCCGATGAAGAGGTGGTCCGTTGGTGAATTCGCCGGTGCCGGTAGGCGGGCGAGCATGGTAACCTGCGCATAGAGCGCGCGAGTTGAGGTGAGAGTGAGGCCGTCGGGGGTTAGTGTATAAAATTCGAGCCGGTTTGCTTTGCTATATCAGAGAGAAAAGAGAGGTTGTTAGTCTGGTAGTTTCACGACGAGCTCGCGTCACGGCCCGCCAGTTCCAGTTCCAGGCGTGGGGTGGGATATGCAGTACTCACGCTACTACCAGACAGTCTTCTTCTGGATTCAGGAAATTCAGCTTCACCGCATGCCGAATGCCACTTGCGCGGTGTATTGGTACCACATAAGCCATGGTGGTGGTAGTGGTGGTGCTGCGGTAGTCCGCGGTCCCTCACAAATCGTGCTGGGAAGCTGAGCTGAGCTTCGAGGTGTCGCGGGATGACGGTGTTTTCGATGGGCAGAAGCGGAGGTGGGAATGGACTGGAATATGTATGGGTAAAGATTTGGTGGCTTATGAGCAGATCAGGTATTGTAGGAGACACATTTCCGGAGGGATTCGAGGGATTGCGCTGTTGCGGGGAGTTCTCAGGTTTGCCCGTTGCCGAGCGGTGCCATGACGTTCCCCGTTGGCAGCCAACTTCCGCTTTTTGTATAAATTGGTCATTCTAGTCACCCGACTCTATTGGCACCTGGGGAATTATGGATTTTTGAGCAGACTTTTTATTCAGAAAATATCATGTCGGTATTACAAATAGTCCAGTACGCTTTTCCGACACATTACCACTACCATTCACACTCAACTGATCCTACTCTATTGGATTGCTTCGGATATGATCAATTAAATTCTTTTAATTTCCAAGTCTAACAGTCATCCTTTCCCTCATTCGTCCTCGCAGATTGATAGTCAAATCACCCCGAGGCCGTAAATAGTAAGCATACATAAACTGCCGAAAAGAAAGAGACAAGGGGGTAGTCGGCAACCCCAAGCCGTGAAATATGTGCGCTGGATCATCTAAAAGTGAAGATATGATGAGAAAAAGCAGCAAGGAAAAACCACATGAAATAGATCGTCAATCATGACCAAACATCCTCCTGGTAGCTGCCGCTACTCCGCATGTGCTTGACCATCTCCTCGCCGCGCTCAGCCGGCATACCGCGCTGCTCAGCGATGATGTGTCCCAGCACCAAGTTGACCTCCCGGGCCATGTTGGCGGCGTCACCACAAACGTAGAAGTTGGCCTTTTGCTTCAGCAACTCGCTGACAAGTGGGGCATTCTCCTTCAGGCGGTGTTGGACGTAGACCTTCTGAGCGCCCTCACGGGAGAAGGCAGTGATGATCTTCAGGGAGTCACCCATTTGCTCTTGGTAGGTCTGGAGAAATAGTCAGCATAAAATATTCAAAGAAAGGAAAAGAGAAATTTCAGGTAGTGAAACATACCTTGAATTCGTCCTGGTAGATGAAGTCCTCGTCGCTCTTCCGGCATCCAAAAAACAGGAGAGTAGTTCCAACCTTTTCTCCCTTGGCAGCCAGAGCCGCACGCTCCTGGATGAAACCACGGAAGGGAGCGACACCAGTACCGGGGCCAACCATGATGATAGGCTTGGAGGGATCGGAGGGCAGCTTGAAGTTGGAGTGGCGCACATGAACCGGAACGTGGATACCATCGTACTTGTTACGAGGACCGGTGATCGAGTAGGTGAGGCCGTGGGGATCGGGGGAGGGGTCGCCATTCTGCTTCTGCTTCAGGGCCAGCAGGTAGTTGGTGGTGACGCCCTTGACCATGTGCGAAGCACCGGGCAGGCGAACGGACTCGACAACAGCCGTGATGCTGATCTTATCCTTCTGAACCAGAGACGAGGAAGAAATGGAGTAGTACCGGGGCTGGAGCTTGTTGAGGCCCTCAATGAGCAGAGAGAACGGGACGGCGGTGAAGGGCTTGGAGGTGATGCTCTGGAGCGCCTGGGCAATGTTGTAGCACTGGTTGGTGATTTTCTCGTGGAAATAATCCTTGTCGTTACCGAGGCGGACGATCTCAGTCTTGCTCGCCTCATCGGGGGCGAAAGCAGCAAGAGAGGAGACAAATTGACGGGAGACGGGGGCGCAAACTTCCATGTAGTAACGGACGGCAACATCGTAGGTGGTCGGGGTCGGGATGGGAACCTTGGCAGTAACATCAATGCCCTTGACATTGATTACTGAGTTACGCTTGTCCTCAAGACCAAACACCTGCAGGAAACGGTCGACCTCGGCACCAGCGTTGGTGGGCCAGATAGCGATGTGATCACCAGTCTGGTAGCTGAGGTTGCTACCAGCAATGTCAATTTCCATATGGAGGCAGTTGCGGTCCTTAACAGTAAACAGTTCGCGGGATTCACCAATAGGAGCAATGTAAGGGTTGTGAGCAGAGTAAGGGCCTTTGGGCTGGCCCGCGCGGTGGGCAGCAGTGGGCTCTCCCAAGTAGACCGAGTCGTCCTCAGGGGTAGTCATCTCATCCTCCTCGACTGAAAAGACGGGTTCGTAGACAGCTTCGCGTTCCTGGAGATCCATAGCGTCGGAGAGGGCAGCCCACATAGGCTCCTTCCAGGCGAGGAAGTCCTCCTCCATAGTACCGGCACCATCATCACCCTCACCCGCCGCACCGATGCGCTGAGCACCCAGCTTAGCGAGCGCGGCATCGACATGGCGAACCATGGAGTTGTAGTGTTCGTAGGTGTTGTTACCGAGACCGAAAGCGACATATTTGAGAGAGGACAGCGGGGAGTCGTCGGCAGTGGCACCGCTCTCGAAAGCGATGTCCTCGCCGGTGAGGAACTGGTAGAACTCGACCGCGTTATCGGTGGGCTCGCCCTCACCGTAGGTGGCGAGCACGAAGAAAGCGATCTTGTCCTCCGGGAACTTGTCCAGGTTCTCGTAGTCGTAGTCCTCGATGTCGGCAACCATAGCCTTGAGACCAAAACGCTGGGAACCTTCCTTGGCGAGACGGGATGCATAGTCTTCAGCGGTACCGGTTTGGGAGCCATAGAAGATGACACAGTTCTTGCCCGTCTCATCCATCTTCTCGACGATATCGCGGGTCTTACCGCTCTTGGCGGCACCGTTCAGGTTGGCGGAGGAGGCATATGGATCCTTGGGGACAGCCCAGTAGGTTCCCTTGGTGAAGTAGGCGATGCTACCCACCAAGAGAGCCACCAGGACGACCAGGTCGAGGGTATCGAGTTGAGCCATGGCGATTGCGATTGCGGGTTTTCTCCGCAGAGCACACGAGGGAGGGGCGGAGAGTTAAAAAAAAGGCCGAAATGCCAATCTCCCCAGTCAGACGGAGTGAGGGGCGAAGAGAGGAGAAGGCGGGAAATGGGAGGAAAGGAGGAAAGGAGGAAAGGGAAAAAACAAAAATCCCAAAGACCACCCCAATGCGCACGAGAGCGTGAAGTCGAAACTCGTGAGGCTCGTGAAAGTCGTAAGAATGCAGAAGAGACCCCTGAGGGAAGAAAGAGGCAAAGTGGTCTGACCACGCTCCGGTCGGACAAAAGTGGATCGTTACCTGCCGAGGTGTGTAGGTGCAGGTGTGTGCATACAGTGTGATAACAGTGGGATACGAAGAGGAGAGAAGAGCAGAGAAGAAGAGAAAAAAAAAATAAGAAAAAAGAAGATTCGATCAGATCAACCCAAATTCCAATCCTGGGGAAAGACTCCAAGTTTATATTGAATCAGGATCTCCGGATCTCCCTCGGCTGCCGGGGAGATTTTGTACTCTTCGACTACTACCAACGGCACTACTAAAGGGTACTCGGAAGGCGAACACGGCGTCACACTGATTTCCCCAGTGGTCTTCTGTGGACTTCTCCGTGGTAATACCTAAATGGTCCAACAGACGACAAGTACCGCTGGGTCATTCCTCGGGTATTCAACTTGTTCGGCACGACCGCCGGGAGATGCGCAACTCTCCACTTACAGTGCCACTGCCAGTGCCACTCAGTGGACTAGGAGTACCACTTACCACTACCACTACCACTGCCACTACCACTGCCAGAGTCCGCCATGGAGGTGCTTGGTTTAACGGCTCGGACGGATCCCCACGAATCCTCCCAACCCGCCCAGTCCGCCGCCCAGTCCGCCACTTCCGCATTCCGTGTTTTCACCTCCGCTATAATATCGGCCACTGCGGAGGCATTCCGCGGCTCTCTTCCCTTCTTCAGCATGGGCATGGGCATGGATTGGATCTCCATTTAAGACCGGATCTCCTACAGAAAAGGGTACAATTTGAGATTCCTCCCAAATCGGTATTTGCCGGCACATCCCCGGGCCGTCACGGATATGCCAATGGTATTGGTACGGCTGTCCACTGGGGTCTACTTTGGGTATTCCCCCGCATCCACATGCACGGGTTTCTGATTCTAGCGCCTTCGATATGACTTGACCGACTTCCCGGTGAGGTGAATCGATCCGTATGGTCGGCTTGGGCGACACCCAGTTCTGCCATGTACACGCGAGAGGGATCACCCTCCCCGTCGACTTGGTCAGGCTGGAACTCGCCGCACTCCTAATCCCGGATATGGAAGACCTACTCCGTATGTCTGACTGTGACGGGTGAGAAATGTACAAGTGGAGGAGGTTCTCGTGTTTCACGATGGCCGACCCATCTATGACACAGAAGCAGTCAGATCCAAACACCTCGCGTGGGACACAACGGAGACAACTTAGTAGGACAGCGTCTCGTGTAGATTGATTGATGACCCTCGTGGTCCCCTCACGATCAGCGGGAACGGATGGCTGGGCATAACGGCCCTGCAGGTCGATCGTAGGTTGGTTCTGGTTCTGGTTCTAGTACTCCATGTTCCATACTCCATACTCCATACTCCATACCCTATATATCAATTAACTCGGTCGTCGGAGGGCTTGGTGAACTGAAGGATTGAAGGAACCTTGAAATATTTCCGTTTCCAATGTCATATTTCCTTCCCCTCGAGTTCCTAGTCACTTACTACTTGTAGTTAGTACCTTGGTGTTAGTTAACTAGAGAGTACCTGATACTATACCCCCCACTATCCGAAACATGGAGGAGAGGCTGTGACATCCAAGGGCCCAAACACCTGGCTCAAGGCTGACACAATTGTCCATAAAAATGATATTGAAAGGGGAGCAGAGGTCAAGTTTATGTACTACTAGTATTAGTCGTAGAGCCCTAGAGATCAACTACTACTAATATACTAGTAGTAGTTACCAACATGGATACTGCAAGTAAATATATTGGTCACTGAGACTGGCATTCATTGCAGAACACATAAACAGATTTAGAAATTTATTATCAGAAGGAAAACAAAACTCACTACTCTCATCAAGCAACTTTGAAACCTTCAAGTTCAAGTTGAATCCACTAGAAGCCCCAGAAGCAGCGTAGAAGCATCCTAGGATTCGCCAGTTCGCGCCGGCAAAGGAGAAAAAGCGGTCCCCGTGCGCCCGAATCAACATCCCAAAGCTCCCTCTTTCTCCCAGAAACTTGAACCACCTCCCTCCACCCATAATGGATTGAGCCGCTATGTCCTGCCTACTGCGATCTGCTGACTTCAAGTTTTATCCGGCTGCCTGCATGGGATTCGAGCAATGAGTTCTTGACTTGTCGCAACCAGTAAGTTCGTTGGGCCTCCCTTGCGCTCCGAGGCTCCCATCCCATCCCATCCCATCACATCATATCCCTCGGCATCTTGCCTGACTCGTCAATCCTCACAGTGACATCTCATCCGGCCAAAGGTGCTGGCCCCGGCCAGCAATCCACGCTGCCCCTCATTCCCGACGACCTCAAAGCCGCCTCGCAACACAATCTCACCTCCCCAGCGGAGTGGCGAGCTACCAGAACAGCGCAATCGACTCCGATGCACAGCCGCGAGTCCTCCGCCGTTCGGGGTAGAGCGGCCGATCCCTCCACATTAGCGCCCACAATCCAAGCTCGTCGCGGTCATTCCGGCTCCAAGAGTCCCGATGTTTCGACCGGTCGCCCTGCAGGATATGACGTGGGATTGGAAAGACGACCGTCGAACTCGTACGGCCATCACCGACAGACCTCCATCGTCCATGGCATGCAACACTCGCGCAACCCCAGCATGGCTGGCTCGACTGCTTCCGCTAGTCCTCTCAGCCCCGAGCTGATCGCCTCTCTTGGCCGTGGCTCTTCTTTCGATGAACCGGGTCCGACGAAGCTCGACCAGCTCGACACGCATCCCAACTTCCCAAGCCCAGCGGGTGCCCCTACAAGCCATGGTCATCCGGTCCCCTTGAGCACAATCCAGGACAACGATATCGATGACGTGATGAATGGCAGCCCCGTGAACGTGCTACACAAGAGAATGAATTCCGGAGGAGTAACGAGACGGGATCGGTCCCACAGCCGCTCACATTCAAAGCATCATTCCGATTCGAAAACAGTGGGGGAATATGCGCTTCATCATTTATTTAATTCGGTAAGAGGGGAGAGTCATACGCGTTTCCCACCGGAAACAAGACAAAGCCTATGCTGACTGGCAATGCGTTAAATAGTTTGTTGGTCAAGCAGACAGCAAGATCAACCAGGCGATCCTAAAATTAGGGGAATCCGAAGCCCCCGTGGAGGAAGTTTGCGGACCAGGCGCCGATTCGGATTTTGATCAATTGATATCAGCACTGGGTCACATCGCGCGCCAGAAGCCAAAACCACTAATCGATACTATAATGCTCTGGAGAAAGGCCAAGGGAGACGCTGCAATCACTGCGAGGCAGATGACGAACGAGCCGGTATGTGAGAGCCCGCCAACAAGCAGAAAGAAAGGTATAAGCTAACTGTACCCAGCCCAAGCCAATTGTCACAGAGAATGGAGTGCTCATGCGTCGGAACACGGAACCCACCCAAACACCCACAGAGCCAGGTGCTCCAGCAGACCGTTCTCCGCAAACGCCATTCATTTCTCGCCATGACGACGTCGCTTTGGTCGAACGCCGAGCAACAGTGTCAGTCTACCTGGTATGCAGAGTCCTGATCGAAATCTTCAACCAGAGTAGTCTGGCATCAATTACGCTCGACATGGCAGATCGTCTCGAAGATATAGTTTTCGGCCAAATCAAAACCGTCGATCCGGAGCAAATCTCGGCCTCACCTCTCCGCATGGCTAACTGGAGGATATATGGCCAATTGCTAGGAATCATGAGTGAAGCAAACTTCACTAGTGTGGCCAACCGCTTCTTGGCCGAGCTCGAAAAACTGCAAAAAGATGAAGCAGCTCGTGGCCCAACAAGAGACGGTGATACGAAAGCGGAATTACTGATCCTCGGTATGAGGTACCTGCGCCTCCCGATGAATCCTGATAACTGGAGCAAGTCATGCGACTTCATGCGATCCTTAGCACGTCTATTTGTCAACGCCCACGGACAAAGAATCAAGCAAGCTTATTGCTACGTGATCGAGAAACTCTTGCTCCCCGTGGCTGCGAATCCGACAGTTGACCTCTCGATTCCCCGATGGAAGGAGTTTCTGGATCTGGTCCAACCGCGACTGGCGCAACTTCTTACCAAACCTCGTCATTGGGCTTCTTCATACTCTTTGAATGTTCTCTTGCTATGCATCTCGAGCAAGGAGACCTTCTCCGCACAGTGGCTGTCGATGGTAACGAGCCTACCACCACGACTAAAAGATCGCCCTACTCGAGCTCCAGCCCTTCAGGCGATCTGCCGTCTCGTTTGGACCTACTTCTTTCGCTATTCCGATTCCCCAACGGTCACCCTTCGCAAGCTAGAGGAAGTGACTAAGATTGCCTTGCCCACTGGACGCCGGACCTATCTCAGCGCAGAACCTACCTTTGCGGACCCCTTGATCCAGCTGATCAGAATGATCGGATTCAAGCACCCGGATGTCTGCTTCAGGACCATTATATTTCCTTTGATCAATAGTGACCTGTTCTTGTCTCCTAGAGAAGTCAAGATTGAACAGATGGAGCCAGAGAAGATGGTTATTGGTATCCGCTCTTTCTTGGCGACGATGTCAGACCTCGAAACCAGCGATCAGCTCTGCCCTCCTTTCCCCACTGGATCTCTTCCAAATCCATTCCTGGATTCTTCTACTCCCATCTACTTCCATCGCCCACAATTGCTAGCCGAGCCTAAGATGGGCCCATCAGCTCAAAAGCCTGAGCCATCATGGAGTCCTGTCAATATCTCGAGGCTGAGTGCCAATGTAAAGGAGTATTACCTCCGTTTCTGTGAAGTGCTCGGGAAGATCACCATTCTTTGTGACAACACCTTTGGCGGTCAGGCAGTGTTAGATGAAAAGTTTGGTGGCACTACGCCCAAAACTCCACTGACCGAAGCATTCGGGTTTGGACGTCGCGATGACCATGTGAACACGATGGATCAAAAGCAAGGCTTCTATGATCTTCTACACGTTGCAGTACAAGCTTTACCTCGTTGCCTTTCAGACCATATTCCATTCAACTCATTGATCAATCTGTTATGCACAGGGACTGCACATGTTCAATCAAATATTGCAAAGTCATCAGCGGAGTCGTTGAAATCGATTGCCCGGCAATCTCACGCGCAACAAGTTACTATCGGCTTCGCGAGATTTATTTTTAACTTTGATGCACGTTATTCGACCATGTCCGATGAAGGGATGCTTGGCCCTGGGCATATTGAGTCAACGCTGCGACTTTATGTTGAGCTTTTGAGTATTTGGATCGACGAGATCAAGCAAAAGACCAAAGATGCCGCGTCCGACCAACTTGAAAAATCCGTATCTGGAAGCCGAGCGCTTCATCTCGATCTTTCGAGTGTTCTTGCGCATGTGGAAGAGATTGAATCACATGGTCTCTTCTTTTTGTGCTCGCAGTCGCGAAGAGTTCGGGCGTTTGCCATTAATGTTTTACGCCTGATCACTGAATTCGATAGTGCTCTGGGCAAAGAAAACACGAGAATCATCAGAATATTGGAGGCTGATTCTCAACAAATCCTGGATGTAAATGACGAGCAGCTGACAGTTGCGGAGAGGAGTCGCATTCAAAAAGGCAAACGAAGAAGCGCATCGCAGAACACCCTAATCGAGCTTTGCAGCAGCGAAGTGTCATACGACTCCACGCTGTGGGCTAAAGTGTTCCCGAATATCATCCGGGTCAGCTTCGAAACCTGTCCCTTCGCTGTTACATTGGGCAGAGAGATTGTTTGTGCGCGTTTAGTTCAGATGCACAAGATGATCTCGTCACTGGCTGAGCGGT